GGAGCCGCCGCGGTGGCATCCCCCGTCCTCCGGCCGTTTGAACCCGTGACCCCCGCCGCATCGCTGCGGCTCCCCCGCACGCGCGTTCTGGAGCCGCCCCTCAGGACGTGGGCCAAGGAGGCCGCCTGAGCGAGCCCGGCGCTGTCCCCGTTCTCCGGGCGCCTCACTCCCTTCGCGCCCCTCCGGTCGCCACAGACGACCCGCTCACCCCTCCCCGGGTTTTCTGCGGTTGCCTGCAGCCGGGAGGAGCAAGTGCGTGGGCTCCGGGCTCCCTCTCACCGGTTGTGCGGGTAAACGAGCCAGGACGGATGTGGAATGCCTGGAGGCGGGTGAGTGCGCAGCCCTCTCCGGCAGCCTTCTATTCTGATTTTTTTTTTTTTTCAGTACAGAGGAAATCGTGAAGGGGAAGACTTTTCAAGCTTGAGCCCTCTCTAGGCCTTCGAGTTTGGGAGAATTGCTATAAAATTAGCGGACTGTTAACTAGACTCTTGAAGAATGGATGCTGAGTTTGAATGAGTCCCGAAAAGCTCTTAAAAGAAATGTGACTGGAAGTACTTGAAGTAAAGATTCTTTGCTTGGCCAAACTTCAGTCAGGCTCCTGAAGCCTTCTAGGCTCACGTGTGCACTTCCTTGTAAAAATCCAGTTTTAGGAAGAACTTTGCTAAGTCAGTTTAACCAGAAGCACCCTCCGCCTCAGTATGTGATGATCGTCAATATGTTTGCTGCTTCCTCATCCTTCACCACTCCCCAGGAGCTGTCTGATGGTCCTGGTCCTTTTTCAGCAAGAGTCCTGCTAGGTCATTTTAGCCAGAACTCTCCTGAACCCTACTGTTTTCTTTAAGGATTTTCCATCCACTGACCCCTAATCTGCAAACTTCCACTTGCCCATGCTGTATTGGGAGTTGTACCCCGTCTCCTCCACTGTAAGATTCCATTGCAGTGGCCCCTGTAGCTATCTGGATGGAAAGTGTCATTGAATATTTTTTTTAAGTGTTGACCTGAAACCATAA